AATCCTCTTCTGGATCATCCAAATGCAATCTAGCAAACTTCAGACGGGCCTGGACATGTACTGGCTTAAGCAGGGGGACACATCTGGCACTGCAGGATTTGAGTCCCTGGCGGCGTTGTGTGTTACTGATGGTAGGCTTTGTTACTTTGGTCCCAGCTCTCTGCAGGTCATTCACTAGGTCCCCCCGTGTGGTTCTGGGATTTTTGCTCATCGTTCTTGTGATCATTTTGACCCCACGGGGTGAGATCTTGCGTGGAGCCCCAGATCGAGGGAGATTATCAGTGGTCTTGTATGTCTTCCATTTCCTAATAATTGCTCCCAACATTGATTTCTTCAAACCAAGCTGCTTACCTATTGCAGATTCAGTCTTCCCAGCCTGGTGCAGGTCTACAATTTTGTTTCTGGTGTCCTTTGACAGCTCTTTGGTCTTGGCCATAGTGGAGTTTGGAGTGTGACTGTTTGAGGTTGTGGACAGGTGTCTTTAATACTGATAACAAGTTCAAACAGGTGCCATTAATACAGGTAACGAGTGGAGGACAGAGGAGCCTCTTAAAGAAGAAGTTACAGGTCTGTGAGAGCCAGAAATCTTGCTTGTTTGTAGGTGACCAAATACTTATTTTCCACCATCATTTGCAAATAAATTCATTAAAAATCCTACAATGTGATTTTCTGGATTTTATTTTCTCAATTTGTCTGTCATAGTTGACGTGTACCTATGATGAAAATTACAGGCCTCTCTCATCTTTTTAAGTGGGAGAACTTGCACAATTGGTGGCTGACTAAATACTTTTTTCCCCCACTGTATATCTGACCAAATTATGAAAGACAAGCATTGTAATTTTGAATTCTGTAAAGTGAGTGTGGAAGAGGTGAACAAATTATTGTTGTCTATTAACAATGACAAGCCACCGGGGTCTGACAACTTGGATCGAAAATTACTGAGGATAATAGCGGACGATATTGCCACTCCTATTTGCCATATTTTCAATTTAAGCCTACTAGAATGTATGTGCCCCAAGGCTTGGAGGGAAGCAAAAGTCATTCCGCTACCTAAGAATAGTAAAGCCCCCTTAACTGGCTCAAATAGCCGAACAATTAGCCTGTTACCAACCCTTAGTAAAGTAGTGTTTGCTATTTTACAGTAAACAAATTGACAACAAACTTCCAGCATGCTTATAGAGAAGGACATTCAACAAGCACAGCACTTACACAAATGACTGATGATTGGCTGAGAGAAATTGATGATAAAAAGATTGTGAGGGCTGTTTTGTTAGACTTCAGTGTGGCTTTTGACATTATCGATCATAGTCTGCTGCTGGAAAAACGTATGTGTTATGGCTTTACACCCCCCTGCTATAATGTGGATAAAGAGTTACTTGTCTAACAGAACACAGAGGGTGTTCTTTAATGGAAGCCTCTCAAATTTAATCCAGGTAGAATCAGGAATTCCCCAGGGCAGCTGTTTAGGCCCCTTACTTTTTCCATCTTTACTAAGCCAGTGTGTCTATGTATTCGTATGACTCAACACTATACACGTCAGCTGCTACAGCAACTGAAATAGCTACAACACTTAACAAAGAGCTGCAGTTAGTTTCGGAATGGGTGGCAAGGAATAAGTTAGTCCTAAATATTTCCCAAACTAAAAGCATTGTATTTGGGTCAAATCATTCACTAAACCCTAAACCTCAACTACATCTCAGAATGAATAATGTGGAAATTCAGCAAGTTGAGGTGACTAAACTGCTTGGAGTAACACTGGATTGTAAACTGTCATGGTCAAAGCATATTGATACAACAGTAGCTAAGATGGGGAGAAGTACAGTGGGGAGAACAAGTATTTGATACACTGCCGATTTTGCAGGTTTTCCTACTTAAAAAGCATGTAGAGGTCTGTAATTTTTATCATAGGTACACTTCAACTGTGAGAGACGGAATCTAAAACAAAAATCCAGAAAATCACATTGTATGATTTTTAAGTAATTAATTTGCATTTTATTGCATGACATAAGTATTTGATCACCTACCAACCAGTAAGAATTCCAGCTCTCACAGACCTGTTAGTTTTTCTTTAAGAAACCCTCCTGTTCTCCACTCATTACCTGTATTAACTGCACCTGTTTGAACTCGTTACCTGTATAAAAGACACCTGTCCACACACTCAATCAAACAGACTCCAACCTCTCCACAATGGCCAAGACCAGAGAGCTGTGTAAGGACATCAGGGATAAAATTGTAGACCTGCACAAGGCTGGGATGGGCTACAGGACAATAGGCAAGCAGCTTGGTGAGAAGGCAACAACTGTTGGCGCAATTATTAGAAAATGGAAGAAGTTCAAGATGACGGTCAATCACCCTCGGTCTGGGGCTCCATGCAAGATCTCACCTCGTGGGGCATCAATGATGATGAGGAAGGTGAGGGATCAGCCCAGAACTACACGGCAAGACCTGGTCAATGACCTGAAGAGAGCTGGGACCACAGTCTCAAAGAAAACCATTAGTAACACACTACGCCGTCATGGATTAAAATCCTACAGCGCACGCAAGGTCCACCTGCTCAAGCCAGTGCATGTCCAGGCCCGTCTGAAGTTTGCCAATGACCATCTGGATGATCCAAAGGAGGAATGGGAGAAGGTCATGTGGTCTGATGAGACAAAAATAGAGCTTTTTGGTCTAAACTCCACTCGCCGTGTTTGGAGGAAGAAGAAGGATGAGTACAACCCCAAGAACACCATCCCAACCGTGAAGCATGGAGGTGGAAACATCATTCTTTGGGGATGCTTTTCTGCAAAGGGGACAGGACGACTGCACCGTATTGAGGGGAGGATGGATGGGGCCATGTATCGCGAGATCTTGGCCAACAACCTCCTTCCCTCAGTAAGAGCATTGAAAATGGGTCGTGGCTGGGTCTTCCAGCATGACAACGACCCAAAACACTCAGCCAGGGCAACTAAGGATTGGCTCCGTAAGAAGCATCTCAAGGTCCTGGAGTGGCCTAGCCAGTCTCCAGACCTGAACCCAATAGAAAATATTTGGAGGGAGCTGAAAGTCCGTATTGCCCAGCGACAGCCCCGAAACGAGGTCCAAATTCGAATGAAGAAAATAAGGAAATACAAGGGGAGGAGATCAGGGTGCCTTGTGAGAATTAGTCGGCGAGTGGGTAACCCACCTCTACCATCCGTTCTATTAGCCAACGTGCAATCACTGGAGAATAAACTGGATGAGCTCCGTTCGAGACTATCCTACCAACGGGACATTAAAAACTGTAATATCTTATGTTTCACCGAGTCTTGGCTGAACGACGACACAGATAATATACAGTTGGCTGGGTTTTCCGTAAATCGGCAGGAAAGAACAGCTACGTCCGGTAAGATGAGAGGTGGGGGTGTGTGTCTATTTGTCAATAACAGCTGGTGCACTATGTCTAATATTAAAGGTAGTACTGAGGTATTGCTCACCTGAGGTAGAGTACCTCATGATAAGCTGTACCAAGAGAGTTTATCTATATTTTTTGTGGCCGTCTATTTACCACCACAAACCAATGCTGGCACTAAGACCACACTCAATGAGCTGCATAAGGCCCTAAGCGAACAAGAAAAATGCTCATCGAGAAACGGCGCTCCTAGTGGCAGGGGACTTTAATGCAGGCAAACTGCTATCCGTATGCCTAAGAATAACCTTAAATTAAGACTAAAATGCATTTGTTTGTTCATTAATTTTTAAGATATATAGCCAATTCTGACTTTGCGCCTGTGTTAACTAGCGGAAACCGTTGCTCCTCACACGCATATCTGCCCTCTCATTGGCTAGAATGGTCCCACCTGATCTTGCCTCCTCCAGGCTGGCTTCCATTTTTGAAGACATTTCTTTTCATCGTTAGAACGGCCACTATGAGTATCTGGTCAATATAATCTATAAAATGTGCATCCGGTTTTCAGGGGAAATGGAAAGAGAGTGTGTCGCCTCTTCCACTTTCGGCCGTTGTCAATATAATAGATACTCTTTGGTTAAGATAGCAAAGTGACTGCTTTTACAATGGAAATACATGTCCTTAATGATGGAAGGCAGGCGAGATCAGGTGTGACCATTCTAGCCAATGAGAGGGCAGTATATGCACAAAAGGCACACCTAAGTCGTTTTTCTCAAAGTTGCCGGAATACCACGTGCATCAGCCTAAACATTACCAAACTTATATTTGATCAAATAAACCTCACGTAATTCGACACTCTCTCATAGACCTCCATACAAAAAAAATGGGCTTATCTCACGCTGACAGATTTTGGACGGAGTAATCCTCTCGCTTCGCCTCTTCCTCTCCGGGTTAACAAAGTCGACATCAGAGAGGAAGAGGAGAAGCCTGGCGACACTCCATTTTAACTAATGCACATTTACTGGATTGGATGAACAGTGCAGAAAATAATCTACCCCGACAGTTTTTTTTCTCTCTCGTCAGGACCAAAAATAAAGAAATGCCAGAGTTTCTAAATCAAGAGGCGCAACATCGCGAGACTTCCGGGAACGCTTGCGAAACAGACCAGACCAGTCAATGAGAGAAGTGAAAGATTCTTCCTTTAGTTGTTATTTTTTTCTCAATCTAAAAGGCACAACCTAGATTCGAGCCAATGTCTTAAGTAGTTGAACATGTTATTACTCAGACCTCGTGACAAACTGACACGTTTTCATTTTCGTGAGAAAAAAAAACTACTTTATATCGAAGGAGTGCCTTTTGATTTTACGGCCTGCACATGCGCAGTTAAGCGCGATACGACCCGATGAGGTGTTTATGCGCATGAGCAGAGCTAGCCAACGTCGCCTACAAGCGTGATCGGGGGATTTCTATTGGAGAATGAGTTTCTGCTCGTCTTCATACTGTACTGTCTTCGGAAAAGCCATTCGAGGAGTTTCTTTTTAAACCTGCTGTGTTAGGTTATCCCGCCACTAGTCAACCCAAAAGAGTGGAAACAGCGACGCCCACTGGGCTAATGAAAGAAAGGTGTTATTTACCGTGGCCAGGGAGGTGAGTTCAACAAGAGCAACAGAGGCAGATGAGTCAACTGATTACAGTTTCATGCGGTCTATAAAAAAACAAAACAGAAAGTGATTAGAGAGATGTTTGCACACGTTTGGAGCGCATTTGGCGAAGTAATGGTTGGGTGAAAGATTAGAGAAATGAACAAGCGTCAAACAGCATATTTTCTGTAGTCCACAAACTACAAATCCCAACCTCTCTCGCCTTAACAGACAGAAAAGCCACACCGCGCCGTAGGGAAATAAGTGGATGCGTTGGTGACAGTAGGGGAAGGGAAAGAGACGAGCTTTTTCAACATAAATGGAGGTTCATCCGTAGCGGGAGAGAAGAGCAGCTGCAAAAATATAAGCAAAATGGCGAAAGAGCAGGAGGTCGAACGCATTGCTAAAACGCTGGACAAAATGGTGCACAAGAAAAACACGGTAAGTTGAGTTTGCTAGGTGGCGCGGCAGAAATCAGGTATGCTAGGCATGGCAGGAGTGTTGTGGTGGTCGTGTGATGTCGGATGCACCTTTTGTAGACATCGAAAATTCTAGCAAGCTACAGAAAGCTGTTGGCTATTGGTTTTTCGGGGTTCCGAACAGGGGAAAAAAACGAGTTGATTGCGCTGTCGACCTTGAAGTGAAAGTGAATTGTTGCACTTCACTACTACTGTGTGGCAGCGTAGGTTGTAATGGCAACATATTGAAACATTGTTGCATTCACGCGGTGATTTGTTTGTTATGAACGGCTGTCCACACCGTAGACATTAAAACCTGCCCCCAGACCCCCCCCTGCCCCTCCGTTCTCCTAATTAGTTAAGCCCAGTCATGGCTACTCGGGTTAATCAGCGGGATCGTTTGTTATCTGTATAGGTTAACTTTGGCCTAGATATGTCATTTTTTGAACATGCCACTCACTACCTCTGCTTTCGACCCTTGCATGGAGGCGACACCGGAATATTTTACCTGGAGATAAAGTCCTTACATCCATACGCATTCAGTCCCCGCCACACGGATGACCAGCCATTTAAAACGTACAGTTAACCTAACCAAATTTGGCCGCTGTGCTCACATTCGTTCCCATATCACCATAGGCCTACACCACCCAGTTTTTATTGGTCTTATCATCTAGGTTGTAGCCTAATATTGTTGGAATAACAGCATATGCATAATGCTCGTTCACTAAAAAATAGATTGATATTATTGTATACAGCGTCCATTTCAATTTAATAGGTATCAATATTTATGTCTCCTTTATTCACAGGATGGTGCCATATATCTGCTGAGGGAACTGAAGAACATGAAGATGTCTCTGGAGACACTACAGGTAGACCTAAGCATGTTCTCATACTGTAGGCCTCTCTGTCTATACCACAGAAGAAAATACTATTATATTGTGTTACAATGGTCAATGCAATGGTCTAAGGCACTGCATCGCTGTGCCACTAGAGATCCTGGTTCGAATCCAGGCTCTGTCGTAGCCGGCCGCGACCGGGAGACCCATGGGGCGGCACACATTTGGCCCAGCGTCGTCCAGGGTAGGGGAGGGAATGGCCGGCAGGGATGTAGCTCAGTTGGTAGAGCATGCCGTTTGCAACGCCAGGGTTGTGGGTTCGATTCCCACGGGGGGCCAGTATGAAAAAATAAAAAAATTTAATGTATGCACTCACTAACTGTAAGTCGCTCTGGATAAGAGCGTTTGCTAAATGACTAAAAATGTAAATGTAAAAAAATGTCAATACAATACTATGTCTTTACAATTTCTCTATGGTGTCAGTCCAGGATCTGCATCAGGGGTGTCTGTTGGGCAGGGCCAGACCATAGCTCAAGACCAAACATGTAAAGTAGGCTAGTTATTCCAAGCCCGATTTTTAAAAATGTAACGTCTGTTAACAAATTAATTGGCTGGCTTTAGGACCATGCGGCGCATCCCTTGGAAGGCAGAGACGGTGCCAGACAGTTTGCTTTGCCGGTCAGCCGTTTAGGCAGTGCGCTGATTGCTTTGAATTTGATGTCAGCATTTGAACTCACCGGTTACTTTCACATTGATGTCGGCATAGGCGGAGCATCCCATAGGCTAGGGGAAGATAAGCTTCCCCTAAAGAAAATGGAATTAAATTTGCTATATAATTGCTTGTGCCTATACAGAAATAAAATACTACACCAGAGCGCATGATTTGGCCCCAGAGGGTCATAATTTTTTTAATTTTTTATTTGTTGCTGTGGATTGATTTAAGTATGCAATTTGGGCTGTGCGTGGCAAATAGCCTACCAAATTGCTGATTTGTTGAGTCTAAAACTCAAATGGCTATTGTTGAAAAGAGAAGACGGAAGAAAATACTAATCTGTCTCTAGAATTTTCAACTCCGAATTGGCACCAGCTGAGAGCATCGGCCATATCCCCATTGAGTGTGCATATTCACTATCTTTATCATTGGATCAGTACCACAGGATATTTTTTTTTTTTGTGGGGGCAATAATAGATGGACGTCATATTGTACAATTTGTCTCCCCTTTTAGTAGGCATAAATTAGATGGTTGCATTCAAGACAAGTTTGTTTTTACTGAACTGTTTGTCAGTGTCAGCAGAGCAGGCTACTAATTTGTTATATTAAAAAGATGTCCGGTCATGTAAAGTGTAGTAGAATTACATTAAATGTGTTTATAAAAGGCCCCAAAAAAAAAAATTCTGGTGCAAAGAAAGGAGAAGCAACGTCTCTGATCAGTCCTAATCTGTCACTATTGTGCTCAGGCTGTTTCACACCCCCTAGGCTGCACTGTTCACAACTGTGTTTGCTAACTGAGTGAGTTAGATTATTAGCCTAAGTTATGACTACGCCATTGTAACCGGTGTGAAATGGCTAGCTAGTTAGCGGTGCGCGCTAGTAGCGTTTCAATCGGGTGACGTCACTCGCTCTGAGACCTTGAAGTAGTCGTTTCCCTTTGCTCTGCAAGGGCCGCTGCTTTTGTGGAGCCGACGGGTAACGGTGCTTTCGAGGGTGACTGTTGTCGATGTGTGCAGAGGGTCCCTGGTTCAAGCCCAGGTTGGGGGCGAGGAGAGGGACGGAAGCAACGCTGATACACCATCTACTCATCACATTAGGAATAGTAGCCTTTCTTGCATTAGTCCTGCAAGTGCGACGATAGATCCACATCAACGGGACTGCAGTAGAGAGAGAGACAGCGTTTTCTCGGCATCCTCATCACCAAGGACTTGTCATGGACCAACACCACCACCCTTGTCAAGAGGGCGCGACAGCGTCTCTACTTCCGAAGGCGGCAGAAGAAGTTCAGCATGCCGCCTCGGCTCCTCTCCAAATACTACCGCTGCACCATCTAGAGAATAATTGACCGGTTGCTTCACGGCCTGGTATGGGTATTTCTTAGTTCACAACCGCAAGTTCCCCCAGTGGGTGGGGAAGATGGCCCAGTACATCACTGGGACCGTGCTCCCAACCATCCAGGACATCACTGGGACCGTGCTCCCACCCATCCAGGACATCACTGGGACCGTGCTCCCACCCTTCCAGGATATCTACTTGAAGCAGTGCTTAAGGAAGTCCTGCAGCATCATCAAGGACCCCCCACCCCCCAGCCACGAGCTGTTCTCTCCCTTACTGTAGGGCAGACGGTACCGGAGCATGAGGTCTGATACCAACAGGCTCAGAATAGCAGACAGTTTCTATCTACAAATCATCAGACTGCTGAACACTTGAACTGGACTGACCAAATGCTCTGATTCTCCACAACTTGGCACACAGACACATACAGTGGGGAGAACAAGTATTTGATACACTGCCAATTTTGCAGGTTTTCCTACTTACAAAGCATGTAGAGGTCTGTAATTTTTATCATAGGTACACGTCAACTGTGAGAGACGGAATCTAAAACAAAAATCCAGAAAATCACATTGTATGATTTTTAAGTAATGAATTTGCATTTTATTGCAAAACGTGTAAATATTGGCACTATAAATTCTCCTCCTCTATTATATTTATGCTAAAATGTTTATTCTGTTCTATTTACTTCATGTTCGTATTCTTATATTTTATTATTTCTTATTGTTCTTGCATTTCATTGGACGATGTATACCATGCTTATCCCGTACATACGACTAATGAAACTAGATGCATGCAATCCGTTATTTTTAAAGCTGCAATTTTATTGTGAAAAGACTCTCAATTTATGATCAGGTTGAGTAGTGTTTGACATTGTATATGCCGTTCCACAGACCTTTTAAAACCTGATATTGATCATTAATGGTCGTTCCACAGACCTTTTAAACCTGATATTGATCATTTAATAGCCGTTCCACAGACCTTTTAAACCTGATAGTGATAATTAATGGCAGGGGTCATTTTTTTTGTTGTTGCTGTTTTCTGAATAGCAGTTTAGAGTTTTTAAATGCAATGTAGAAAAAAAAATCGCTGACCGTAATGATAAAGATGTCTGTGTTAGTCCACCAGGATCGGCATGTCGGTGAACGCTGTGAGGAAGCAGAGTTCAGAGGAAGAGGTCCAGACTCTGGCCAAGTCACTCATCAAATCCTGGAAGAAACTACTGGGTACGTCTGCTATAGGTCTGCCTCGTACCACTGTCTGTCTGTCCTGCAGGTCTGCCTCGTACCACTGTCTGTCTGTCCTGCAGGTCTGCCTCGTACCACTGTCTGTCCTTCCTGCAGGTCTGCCTCGTACCACTGTCTGTCCTGCAGGTCTGCCTCGTACCACTGTCTGTCTGTCCTGCAGGTCTGCCTCGTACCACTGTCTGTCTGTCCTGCAGGTCTGCCTCGTACCACTGTCTGTCTGTCCTGCAGGTCTGCCTCGTACCACTGTCTGTCTGTCCTGCAGGTCTGCCTCGTACCACTGTCTGTCTGTCCTGCAGGTCTGCCTCGTACCACTGTCTGTCTGTCCTGCAGGTCTGCCTCGTACCACTGTCTGTCTGTCCTGCAGGTCTGCCTCGTACCACTGTCTGTCTGTCCTGCAGGTCTGCCTCGTACCACTGTCTGTCTGTCCTGCAGGTCTGCCTCGTACCACTGTCTGTCTGTCCTGCAGGTCTGCCTCGTACCACTGTCTGTACTGGACAGGTGCGATCCACATGTCTGCTCTAGAGAGACCGGGATGGAAAATTATTATAATACAGACTTGTACAGTAATGAAGAAGACTAAACAGAGATAAACTAAAGAGATAAACACCCGAATGGGAATAATGATGTGTTGTCTCTTCAGACGGTGCTGAGGGGAAGGCTGCGGAGGAGAAGAAGAAGGAGGGCTCTCCTCTGAGGTCATCATCGTCCAAGGACAGTCCTGGATCCAGCGACAGGAGGTGAGACATCGTGACAACCAAGTGTGTCAGGTACCAGAGGTAGTTCAGTGAATAACCTTGTGTGAGCTCCCTGATCTAATGCCTAGGCTTTAGCTCAGTGGGCTAATGTGGAGTCATACAGTGCCTTGCAAAAGTATTCATCCCCCTTGGCGTTTTTTCCTATTTTGTTGCGTTACAACCTGTAATTTAAATAGTTTTTTATTTGGATTTCATGTAATGGACATACACAAAATAGTCCACATTGGTGAGGTGAAATGAAAAAAATAACTTGTTTCAAAGAATTCAAAAAAAATAAATAACGGAAAAGGGGTGCGTGCATATGTATTCACCCCCTTTGCTATGAAGACCCTAAATAAGATCTGGTGCAACCAATTACCTTCAGAAGTCACATAATTAGTTAGATTGCACACAGGTGGACTTTATTTAAGTGTCACATGATCTCAGTATATATACACCTGTTCTGAAAGGCCCCAGAGTCTGCAACACCACTAAGCAAGGGGCACCACCAAGCAAGCGGCACCATGAAGACCAAGGAGCTCTCCAAACAGGTCAGGGACAAAGTTGTGGAGAAGTACAGATTAGGGTTGGGTTATAAAAAAGATCTGAAACTTTGAACATCCCACGGAGCACCATTTTAAATCCATTATTAAAAATGGAAAGAATATGGCACCACAACAAACCTGCCAAGAGATGGCCACCCACCAAAACTCAGACCAGGCAAGGAGGGCATTAATCAGAGGCGCAAAGACATCAACAATAACCCTGAAGGAGCTGCAAAGCTCCACAGTGGAGATTGGAGTATCTGTCCATAGGACCACTTTAAGCCGTACACTCCACAGAGCTGGGCTTTACGGAAGAGTGGCCTGAAAAAAGCCATTGCTTGAAGAAAAAAATAAGCAAACACGTTTGGTGTTCGCCAAAAGGCATGTGGGAGACTCCCCAAACATATGGAAGAAGGTACTCTGGTTTGAGCTTTTTGGGCATTAAGGAAAACGCTATGTCTGGCGCAAACCCAACACCTCTCATCACCCCGAGAACACCATCCCCACAGTGAAGCATGGTGGTGGCAGCATCATGCGGGGATGTTTTTCATCGGCAGGGACTGGGAAACTGGTCAGAATTGAAGGAATGATGGATGGCGCTAAATACAGGGAAATTCTTGAGGGAAACCTGTTTCAGTCTTCCAGAGATTTGAGACTGGGACGGAGGTTCACCTTCCAGCAGGACAATGACCCTAAGCATACTGCTAAAGCAACACTCGAGTGGTTTAAGGGGAAACATTTAAAGGTCTTGGAATGGCCTAGTCAAAGCCCAGACCTCAATCCAATTAAGAATCTGTGGTATGACTTAAAGATTGCTGTACAATGGCTAGATGTGCCAAGCTTATAGAGACATACCCCAAGAGACTTGCAGCTGTAATTGCTGCAAAAGGTGGCTCTACAAAGTATTGACTTTGGGGGGGGGGGGGGGGGGGGGGGGGGTGAATAGTTATGCACGCTCAAGTCTTCAGTTTTTTGTCTTATTTCTTGTTTGTTTGACTAAAAAACAACAAATATTTTGCATCTTCAAAGTGGTAGGCATGTTGTGTAAATCAAATGATACAAACCCCCCAAAAAATCAATTTTAATTCCAGGTTGTAAAAATGTCAAGGGGGTGGGAATACTTTCGCAAGCCACTGAATGTAGCAGAGGTGGTTCAATGAACTACTCTTGGGTGATGCGTAATCTAGCTTGGGTCGGTAGATGACAGGGGTTTGATAGTCTCTCTCTCTCACACACACACACACACACACACACACACTGACAGGTGAACACTAGGGCTACACCACACAAGCTACATCTCCCCCACGTCATCAGAGCGCAACGTATGTTGAACGCTGAACGAGAGACCTCTGTTTATTGTGTTTGTAAAGTTGTGACAGTGTTTCCTTGCAAAGTTTGATTGATATACTTTTTGATTTTGGATCCTGCGACGCGGTTAGCCTCAGTTTTCTGTGACCACTGCTATCTGTCCCGGGATCCTGCCAGACCAAAAAGTCTGAAGTTGTTTGCCGACGCTAGCTACTAGCCTAGCTGGTAGCTATCAGTATCAAACTAGCAGGGTTTTCCACGAACAGCTTGAACACAGCCTGCGACACGGTTAGCACTTGCGCTAACACTGCGAGCGCGGAGGTGTCCCACGCTATTTGTGGCTGTATTCCCTGCTGCTTTTTCCCTGCAACCTGACCTGGCTGGAACGGCGTTGTATAGCTAACGTTAGCCGATGCTAGACGTACGTGCAAAGACACTCCGCTTTCGTGCTCACCGCAGTGAGAGGATTTAAAGGACCTTTAAAAGATCTTTCTGCTTTTTTTGGATTTTGTAATTTGTTTTTTTCTGAGCTCTATCTGTTCACTTAGTTGAGAATTCCATGTAAGGAGAGCGACAAAGAAGCCTAGCTGGCCGGCAGTCTCAAATGGATGTCGCAATTGAACGTTTTCAATGATGCAGGAGCTGTATATTTCGCTTTATTCCAGGACAATGTGGACCGCCCGGACTTTCAATGTAGCAACTGTTTGCCTGCAGAGGACTACAGGGGCGAAGTGGCTACTCTCAGCAAACAAGTAGCAAACCTACACAAGCTACTGGGGAATCCACACCCGCCTACTTCTTCTTTCTCATTTACCCCAGTAGCCGGACGCCGCTCTGGCCTGGTGGAAGTGTCGCCGCTGGTGTCTGCTCTCCACAGCCGACTGGCCGGTACTCTGCAGGGATCCCTCCCCGAAGGGGTCTCCCCCTTCCCTGGAGAATGGAGCTAGTAGGATGCTCCTGGATGACTTGGGGGATGTTCCTGTTCTCGACCCTACCAACCAGCCATGGAGATATGTCACTCGCTGTGGAGTTCTAAAACCGCGTCCTATGGCAACGGGGGCCTCCTTGGAGATGTTAAGACCGGACATAGACCAGAAATGGCTTTGCCGCCCTGGATCCAGAGGTTCCGGTGCCTTCTTCCCTGGGGGCTTCCGATTCGAGATCAGATCCGAGCTACCTGTGTCTTCTGTTCTGTCTCCCTCTCCGGTGGCTTCTATTTCTGGTTCAGATCCTCATAGCTCCCACTCTCATCAGACCGTGAGGCTGTCTGAGACTCCGGCCCATTAATCATCCACGAAGGATACTACAGCTGGCTTGGGTCCATTGGTCCCCTCTGCCCTTCGGTCCTCAAGGGGTTTACGAAAACCTCTCGAGGTGAAAGAACGGCAGGACTTCCTCAGCCATTGCACCAGCTGTCATCATCGGCAGTTCTATTGTAAGAAACATCTTGGTTCCCGGGCCAAAAACCCTGTGCTATCCTGGAGCACGAGTACAGGACATTACAAGGCTGCTTCCGACCATTCTACGACAGATGCCAGGCAGATTCTAGCGGACAATTATTTCCAGTCCGGCACCATAGTTGGGGCGCGGGTGTGAAAGATTCAGCAGGCTACTGGTATTGCACACCTGACACCTGGCTAAAAGATTACTGTAGCTCTGTTGGAATCACTTTTATAGAGAACTTCGACACCTTCTGGAAACAGAAGCTGCTCTACAGGAATGACAGAGTCCATCCATTGGCTCCTGGACTCTGTCCACGCATTTCAGGGCTGCGTTGAGATGTTGACTTATCAATGACCCAAGACCAGCTCAGTTAATCCCTACCATTGTGTCGCTGAGTTGTCATAATGCTGTAGCAAATGTACATTATCCCAGGGGCGTTGGCAGACACAATGTAAGTAACTTAATTTAGGTCCCCCTAACTGCACTGAATGCCTATGTTGATCCTACAGCTATTGTATGCATTAATCCTGTGCCTATGAACCAGAGTTATACTGTTAGCACTGAGGCGGTGTGCCCTTGTAGGAAGTCCACTGTTTGCAGCTTGCACAATCGGCTGAAATATAAAGAACATACTTCTGACAAGCTTCTCAGTAAAGCAATAAAAACAATCAGGCATCCCAGAAAAGTGCTAAAAATTGCCCACATTAATAATACAGTACCAGTCAAAAGTTTGGGGACACCTACTCATTCAAGGGTTTTTATTTTTACTATTTTTTACATTGTAGAATAATAGTGAAGATATCAAAACTATGAAATAACACATGAAATAATGTAGTAACCAAAAAAGTGTTGAACCTCAAATATTTTGATTTGTTTTTCAAATCACCCTTTGCCTTGATGACAGCTTTGCACACTAGGCATTCTCTCAACCAGCTTCACCTGGAATGCTTTTCCAACAGTCTTGAAGGAGTTCCCACATATGCTGAGGACTTGTTGTCTGCTTTTCCTTCACTCTGCTGTCCAACTCATCCCAAACCAACTCAATTGGGTTGAGGTCGGGGGATTGTGGAGGCCAGGTCATCTGCAGCGCTCCATCACAGTCCTTCTTGGTAAAATTGCCCTTAAACAGCAAAACAATTGATAGTCCCACGAAGCCCAAACCAGATGGGATGGCGTATTGCTGCAGAATGCTGTGGTAGCCATGCTGGTTAAGTGTGCCTTGAATTCTAAATAAATCACAGACAGTGTCACCAGCAAAGCACCATAACACCACCTCCTCCAGGCTTTACGATGGGAACTACACATGCGGAGATCATCCGTTCACCCACAGCGCGTCTCACAAAGACACAGCGGTTGGAACCAAAAATCGTCAATTTGGACTCCAGACCAAAGGACAAATGTCCACCAGTCTAATGTCGATTGCTCGTGTTTCTTGGCTCAAGCAGATCTCTTCTTCTTATTGGTGTCCGTTAGTTGTGGTTTCTTTGCAGCAATTCGACCATGAAGGCCTGATTCGCACAGTCCCCACTGAACAGTTGATGTTGAGATGTGTCTGTGTCTTGAACTCTGTGAAGCAGTTATTTGGGCTGCAATTTCTGAGGCTGGTAACTCTAATGAACTTATCCTCTGCAGCAGAGGTAACTCTGGGTCTTCCATTCCTGTGGCGGTCCTCATGAGAGTCAGTTTTCATCATAGCGCTTGATGGTTTTTGCAACTGCACTTGAAGAAACTTTCAAAGTTCTTAATGTTCCATATTGACTGACCTTCATGTCTTAACGTAATGATGGACTGTTGTTTCTCTTTGCTTATTTGAGCTGTTCTTACCATAATATGGACTAGGTTTTTTACCAAATAGGGCTATCTTCTGTATACCCCCCTACCAACACAACTGATTGGCTGAAACACATTAAGAAGGAAAGAAATTCCACAAATGAACTTTTAAGAAGGCACACCTGTTAATTGAAATGCATTCCAGGTGATTTGTTTAACACTTTCTTTAGTTACTACATGATTCCATATGTGTTATTTCATCGTTTTGATGTCTTCACTATTATTCTACAATGTAAAAATAAAGAAAAACCCTGGAATGAGTAGGTGTGTCCAAATTTTTGACTGGTACTGTATGTCACCGGGGGCTTGTTTCTAAAACTTTTGACTGGTAGTGTACATATAACTGGTACTTTCTGTAGCCTAAGAAACAAGGTTCATGAAGTCAATAACTTGCTAGTAACAGATGACATTCATGTTCTGACTATCTCTGAAACTCTCTTAGATAATACCTTTTGATACAGTGGTAGCAATACATGGTTATGACATCTACAGAAAAGACAGAAATGTCAATGCGGTCTATATTCAGAACCACATTCCTGTAAAGCTTAAAGAAGATCTCATGTTAAATACTGTTTTAGTAATATAGCTACAGGTTCATCTGCCTCACCTAACGCCCATTCTTGTGGGAAGCTGCTATAGACCACAAAAGTGCTAACAGTCAGTATCTGGATAACGTGTGAAATGCTTGATAATGTATATGATATCAACAGAGGTATATTTTCTGGTTGACCTCAATATTGACTGGCTTTCACGAAGCTGCCCACTCAAGAAAAAGCTCCAAACTGTAACCAGTGCCTGCAACCTGGTTCAGGTTATCAGTCAACCTATCACGGTAGTTACAAATGGCACAGGAATGAAATCCTCAAAATGTATTGATCACATCTTTACTAATGCTGCAGTAATGTTTTTTAAAGCACTATCCAAATCCATTGGATGTAGTGATCACAATATAGTAGCCATATCTAGGAAAACCAAAGTTCCAAAGGCTGGGCCTAGTATGGTGTACAATAGGTTTTGTATTGATTCTTATGTTGATGTAAATATTATATGTTGGTCCGTGGTGTGTAATGAGGAGCAACCAGATGCTGCACTTGACACATTTTATGAAATGTCTTATTCCAGTTACTAATAATCATGCACCCATTTTAAGAAAACGACTGGTAAAAATGGTTAAATCCCCTTTGGATTGATGAGGAATTGAAAAATGGTATGTTTGCAAGGAATGAGGCAAAAGGGATGGCAAATAAGTCTGGCAGCACAACCCGCTTGCAAACGTACTGCAAATTGAGATCATGTGACTAAACTGAATAAAAACAAGAAACCTATACTATGAAACAAAGATGAATGATAGTAAAAAGCTTAAATACAATTTTGGGCAAAAAGGCAAACTCGGCTCTGTCATTCATTGAATCAGATGGCTCATTCATCACGCAACCCACTGATATTGCCAACTACTTTAATGATTTTTTCATTGGCAAGATTAGGCATGACATACCAGCCACAAAATGCCGACACTACACATCCAAGTATATTTTACCAAATTAGTTAAGACAAGCATTTTTTACTTTACCAAATTAGTTAAGACAAGCATTTTCAATTATGTGTAGTGAGTGTGGAAGAGGTGAAAAAATTGTCTATCAATAATGACAAGCCACCGGGGTCTGACAACTTGGATGGAAAATGACTGAGGATAATAGAGGACGATATTGCCACTCCTATTTGCCTTATCTTCCATTTAAGCCTCCTAGAAAGTGTGTGCCCCCAGGCTTGGAGGGAAGCAAAAGTCATTCCGCTACTTAAGAATAGAAAAGCCCCCTTTTTACTGGCTCAAATAGCCAACCAATCAGGCTCTTAGTAAACTTTTGGAAAAAATAGTGTTTGACCAGATACAATGCTATTTTACAGTAAACAAATTGACAACAGGCTTTCAGCACGCTTATAGGGAAGGACATTCAACAAGCACAGCACTTACACAAATTACTGATTGGCTGAGAGAAATTGATGGGGGCTTTTCTATTTAGACTTCAGTGCGGCTTTTGACATTAATCATAGTCTGCTGATGGAAAAACTTGTTGTGGCTTTACACCCCCTTCTATATTGTGGATAAAGAGTTGCCTGTCTAACAGAAAACAAAGGGTGTTCTTTTAATGGAAGCCTCTCCAACATAATCCAGGTAGAATCAGGAATTCCCCAGGGCAGCTGTCTAGACCCCTTACTTTAAAAAATCTTTACTAATGACACTTACTAATGCGTAAAGCCAGTGTGTCTGTATGCGGATTACTCGACACTAGACACGTCTGCTACTACAGCGACTGAAATTACTGCAACACTTAACAAAGAGCTGCAGTTAGTTCAGAATGCATGGCAAGGAATAATTTTGTGCTAAATATTTCAAAAACTAAAAGCATTGTATTCAGGACAAATCATTCACTAAACCCTAAACCTCAACTAAATCTTGTAATAAATAATGTGGAAGTTGAGGTGACTAAACTGCTTCGAGTAACCCTGGATTGTAAACTGTCATGGTCAAAAACATGTTGATACAACAGTAGCTAAGCTGGGGATAATAGTCTGCCATAATAAAGCGCTGCTCTGTGTTCTTAACAAGGCAGATCCTACAGGCTCTAGTTTTGTCACACCTGGACTACTGTTCAGTCGTGTGGTCAGGTGCCACAAAGAGGGACTTAGGAAAATTACAATTGTCTCAGAACAGGGCAGCGCGGCTGGCCCTTGGATGTAAAATGGGAGCTAACATTTAATGATATGCATGTAAATCTCTGATGACTAAAGTGGAGGAGAGATTGACTTCATCACTACTTGTTTTTGTAAGAAGTGTTGACAAGCTGAATGCACCGAGCTGTCTGTTTAAACTACTAGCACACAGCTCGGACACCCATGCATACCCCACAAGACATGCCACCAGAGGTCTCTTTACAGTCCCAAAGTCCAGAACAGACTATGGGAGGCGCACAGTACTACATAGAGCCATGACTACATGGAACTCTATTCCACATCAGGTAACTGATGCAAGCAGTAGAATCAGATTTTAAAAAACAGAAAAATACACCTTATGGAACAGCAGGGACTGTGAAGAGACATGCACACAAACGCTAGCACACTCGTTCATTGTAATATTGTTGTATGGTGGTATTATACATTTTGTATTGTAGATATGTAGTGGTGTAATAATGTTATATGATGTACTGTTTATCTTTTGTTTTATGTGTAATGTAATTGCCTTAATGTGTTTGGACACCAGGAAGAGTAGCTGCTGCCTTGGCAGGAACTAATGGGGATCCATAATAAACCCCTGGAAGAGTAGCTGCTGCCTTGGCAGGAACTAATGGGGATCCTTAATAAATAAAATACAAAGTACACACACTGATGTTACTGTTTAGAATAAATGGAAGGATCAGTGTGACTCCTAACATGTAACATTTTTCTTCTCGCTGTCACCCTCTTATCTACCCTAGCAAGAAACTGCCTGAGCCCCCTACGACCCCCACCACCCCTACGACCCCCACCACTCCAAAGTTCACCTCCTTCCCCCCCGTGCCCGTCACCACTGACAGCGTACGCACCAAGTGCCGAGAGCTGCTGGTGGCTGCCCTGCAGACCGACGGTGAGACACTCTACCAAGATGGCTGCCATTATCAGCACATTCTACAGCTGTATAGGTTGATGACTTCAGCAACTCTAGTATTATACGTCTCTGGGTGAGACGTAGCCCAATCACAGAGGGATCTAAGATATGGGGTGGCTGGAGGGCCATTTTAAAATGCATTATTTTGACGTTTAATTTGTATATTTTTTTAACTAATGACCACTCTGTTTGATACGTTAGATGACCACAAGACCATTGGAGCAGACACTGAAAACTTGGCTGCTCAGATTGAGGACTATATCCTTTCACCCGTATGCTTGTTGCTGTCCGTTTCTGGTGGTGAGGACCAGACAAATGTGTGGTTTGGTGTTTCTGGTGGTGTGGTGAGGACCAGACAGATGTTTGGTGGTGTGGTGAGGACCAGACAGATGTTTGGTGTTTCTGGTGGTGTGGTGAGGACCAGACGACAGACGTGGATATCAAGGTTTCTGGATGTGGATTGTCTTTTTTATAGACGGACTCTGCATGTCTAAGAGCGTCTTACTGTGTGCGGTGTTCTCCTTCACTTCCCCGCTCCACGTATCTACCAGGAGTTTAAGTCTACAGACCAGAAGTACAAGTCCAGGCTGAGGAGCCGTATCTCCAACCTGAAGGACCAGAAGAACCCAGACCTCCGACGAAACGTCCTCGCTGGAAACATCTCCGCTGACCGCATCGCTAACATGGCTGCTGAGGTACATAGGGGTCTGTGTGTGTGTGGGGGGGGGTCTGTGGGGGTCTGTGGGGGTCTGTGTGTGTGTGTGTGTGTGTCTTTGTGTGGGGGGGTGTGTCTGTGAGTTTCATGTTTTGGCAGTGAACCTCTTAGAGTTGAAATATGTCCTAAGGTTGAGTCTAAAATAACATTTTTGCGTACACTTCACATCTGACACTGAGACACTTCTGTAAGGTCAATTCTTTCACAATTCTCTGTTTGACCCACCAGGAGATGGCGAGTGCAGAGCTGAAGGAGATGAGGAAGGCTTTGACCAAGGACGCCATCCGAGAGCACCAGCTGTCCAAAGTGGGCGGGACAGAGACGGACATGTTTCAATGTGGCAAATGCAGGGGCAAGAACTGCACCTATACACAGGTACAGACGTAGTGAACTGCACCTCTACACAGGTACAGACGTAGTGAACTGCACCTCTACACAGGTACAGACGTAGTGAACTGCACCTCTACACAGGTACTGACGTAGTGAACTGCACCTCTACACAGGTACTGACGTAGTGAACTGCACCTCTACACAGGTACTGACGTAGTGAACTGGACCTGTGTAACCAGCGTCACGGAGTGCAGCCTAACAGTACAGCTTCCTCATGTCCTTATCAGTACTTGATCTCCTGTCCTCTGTCTCGCCAACACACGTGATCGCCTGCTGTATAACGTACTAGCAAGTCGCACCACATAAATGCTAACGCCAGTGGAAATATTTCAAGCTGTGGGGTGAGCCTACGACGGTACGACGTTAACTTCATTACACCAACACACAGGTCAACACGTGTAGTCGGTTCAGTATAGCACACCTGGGGTAAAATCACAGAAAATAACATGCTTCTACAGGTTAGAACAGTGTGTGTGGGTACGTGCTTCTACAGGTGAGAACAGTGTGTGTGGGTACGTGCTTCTACAGGTGAGAACAGTGTGTGTGGGTACGTGCTTCTACAGGTGAGAACAGTGTGTGTGGGTACATGCTTCTACAGGTGAGAACAGTGTGTGTGGGTACGTGCTTCTACAGGTGAGAACAGTGTGTGTGGGTACGTCCGTGTTGTGGTCTCTCCTTGCTCCTGTATGTGTGGCTCGTTGTAAATATGCGCCGTCTCTCCCTGTGTGTTGTAGGTGCAAACGCGCAGTGCTGATGAGCCCATGACCACCTTTGTACTGTGCAACGGCTGTGGCAACCGCTGGAAGGTAGGCTGTGTATCCATTTCACTCTGTCTGGGTCTAGTACAGACCTGGGATCATTTAGTTTTATCTATGCTTAATTTGAATATCAAAATAAAATAGTTGCCTTTTTTTTAGTTAACTCTTTATCAGCTATATTAGACTACCTCAAGTATTTTGAAGTTTTTTAAATAAACTACAAAATAACATTATTTTCTGCACAGGTCTGATACCCTGTTCCCAAGCTTTGTAGGCAGTTCTTAAATGATTGGAACGGTTTGGTTGGATTGGTTTGGTTGGAGTGTTCCCATTACTGCTTCTGCCCATCCAGTCCTGTCAGATCTGCAGGCATGTGTATAGGGGTAGAGACCAGAGGTTACCTAACCCTGACTTGGTGTGAGATGTAAATAAGGGTTAGAAGTAGTGTGGTCCTCTGTAGCTCAGCTGGTAGAGCACGGCGCTTGTAACGCCAGGGTAGTGGGTTCGATCCCCGGGACCACCCATACACAAAAATGTATGCACGCATGACTGTAAGTCGCTTTGGATAAAAGTGTCTGCTAAATGGCATATTAATTAATATTAAAGTAGGGGAAGTGGAAACATGGTGCTTATTATGGCTTGGCTGCTCAGTACTCGTGCAGTACCCCCTTGTCACCACAAGATGGCAGCAGACATTGTCAAGCAGTGCTGACTTTACTGGTGCTACTGTTGTTGTAACCATCCAGACTTCTAATGATGTTATACATTCTCTCACATCAAGATAATTCAACACACCTACCGGCCACTTTTTGTTTTGTTTTGTTGTTGTCATGTATACTCACAATCTAGTCATTTAGCACTCTTATTCAGAGTGACTTCAATCAGTGCATTCAACTAAAGTAAATCAACCACATCCCATGATCATTGCAAGTAAAACATTTTAATAAAAACCTTCTCTCTCCCTCCTCCCCAGTTCTGTTGAGATGATATTCTGGATTTGCTACAAGAAGAGCTGACATGGATAACGAAGTCAACCGGGACCTATTTTGTTACGACTGCAGACTGTTTTTCCTTTGTTGTTTTTGATACTTTTTCTTCTTTTTTTTTTTTTTTAAATCTTTTTTTAAACATTAACTCATAAATCTGGATAAAATGTTTTGACATTTAGTAGCATTTAATTTTCATATCCTTTTCTCTGTCTATTATATGGAGCTAGTCTGGGTGCCTTTTGTGTTTCTGCTTGCCCACAACCTCTTATGGAATGTCATGCTTGGCTTGATAACGAGTTGGCAAGAGCACAAACCGTTCTGGGACCATGCTGAAGTTGAACACTTACTCTTAAAACAACGTTTTTGGTTTGCTGTTTATTAGTTGAAGCTATATCTTACTTTAAAACTTTTTTTTTTTCTTTCTTTGCATTAGGGAACATAGGTGTGCCTTAATTTGCCCCTCTGTGCCACAAAATAATTATTTTACTGTTAGTTTTATACACTTGCTGTATAGAGTATATACACTCTTAGGGAAAGTCCCAAAAGTCCCAAATGGCACCCTATTCCCTAAGTAGTGCACTAAAAAGAGAATAAGGTGCTATTTGGGACGCATACTTGCTGTATATAAAACAAGCCTTTTTTTTGTTGAAAATGTGCTTGGGAGTTATTCTGAATCTACATGCATGCATACATACATGCTACACAGGTTCTTATAGTTCCATTTAGGTTTTGATTATTCCGTAAACAAACGAGAGAAACCAGAGGATTTGCTAGAAGATGTAGAGATTGGAGGAGCAGCGTGCGTAAGGGATGAGGAGGACGGGTTGTTCTCTGCTGAACGTTACTAAAGGGTTAGCGGGGAGAAATAGCCTGACGTCACTATCGAGTTCGCAACACATCTCCGTTTGTTGAAACCAATTTTTATAAAATGTAGGTTGGATTTCAGACATGCTGGAGTGAAGAGCCTCCTGACGAACTATCGACTGGTTTGAAAAGTTTTATCATGCAAGTGATTTATTTTGTATGTAAACGTTTGTCCTCCCAACGGGAACTTGTGTCAATTTAATTAAAAACTGATCTAAGGAGTGTGGAAAGAGTCTGGGGGATCCTGGTGAGTTCTTGTTGACACTTTTTAAACACTCTCAACCCCGAGCCACGCTCAGTTCAGTAGCCGAACATTGTTTAATGTTGGAAAATACAGATGTCATGAATAGAGCAGACGTGATCCTTGGTGTACATGTAAGAGGCATGTTTGTTCTACGTATCATAATTATATCTGAACGTTCCACAACACGTCCTGCTGAACGCGCCCCCTATGAACAGCAGGTGAAAGACCCAAGAAAGTTCTATCTGCATTACAGAATGTTTGCTGTGGAAAAGCCCAAAGAGGAAGCCAATTTCATCTGACTTTATACCCTCATATAAAATATTTGTGAGTACTAGATACAGTGGGGAAAAAAAGTATTTAGTCAGCCACCAATTGTGCAAGTTCTCCCACTTAAAAAGATGAGAGAGGCCTGTAATTTTCATCATAGGTACACGTCAACTATGACGGACAAATTGAGATTTTTTTTCTCCAGAAAATCACATTGTAGGATTTTTTATGAATTTATTTGCAAATTATGGTGGAAAATAAGTATTTGGTCACCTACAAACAAGCAAGATTTCTGGCTCTCACAGACCTGTAACTTCTTCTTTAAGAGGCTCCTCTGTCCTCCACTCGTTACCTGTATTAATGGCACCTGTTTGAACTTGTTATCAGTATAAAAGACACCTGTCCACAACCTCAAACAGTCACACTCCAAACTCCACTATGGCCAAGACCAAAGAGCTGTCAAAGGACACCAGAAACAAAATTGTAGACCTGCACCAGGCTGGGAAGACTGAATCTGCAATAGGTAAGCAGCTTGGTTTGAAGAAATCAACTGTGGGAGCATTTATTAGGAAATGGAAGACATACAAGACCACTGATAATCTCCCTCGATCTGGGGCTCCACGCAAGATCTCACCCCGTGGGGTCAAAATGATCACAAGAATGGTGAGCAAAAATCCCAGAACCACACGGGGGGACCTAGTGAATGACCTGCAGAGAGCTAGGACCAAAATAACAAAGTCCACCATCAGTAACACACTACGCCGCCAGGGACTCAAATCCTGCAGTGCCAGACGTGTCCCCCTGCTTAAGCCAGTACATGTCCAGGCCCGTCTGAAGTTTGCTAGAGTGCATTTGGATGATCCAGAAGAGGATTGGGAGAATGTCATATTGTCAGATGAAACCAAAATAGAACATTTTGGTAAAAACTCAACTCGTCGTGTTTGGAGGACAAATAATGCCGAGTTGCATCCAAAGAACACCATACCTACTGTGAAGCATGGGGGTGGAAACATCATGCTTTGGGGCTGTTTTTCTGCAAAGGGACCAGGACGACTGATCCGTGTAAAGGAAAGAATGAATGGGGCCATGTATCGTGAGATTTTGAGTGAAAACCTCCTTCCATCAGCAAGGGCATTGAAGATGAAACGTGGTTGGGTCATTCAGCATGACAATGAACCCAAACACACCGCCCGGGCAACAAAGGAGTGGCTTCGTAAGAAGCATTTCAAGGTCCTGGAGTGGCCTAGCCAGTCTCCAGATCTCAACCCCATAGAAAATCTTTGGAGGGAGTTGAAAGTCCGTGTTGCCCAGCGACAGCCCCAAAACATCACTGCTCTAGAGGAGATCTGCATGGAGGAATGAGCCAAAATACCAGCAACAGTGTGTGAAAACCTTGTGAAGACTTACAGAAAACGTTTGACCTGTGTCATTGCCAACAAAGGGTATAAAACAAAGTATTGAGAAACTTTTGTTATTGACCAAATTCTTATTTTCCACCATAATATGCAAATAAATTCATTAAAAATCCTACAATGTGATTTTCTGGAATTTTTTTTCTCATTTTGTCTTTCATAGTTGACGTGTACCTATGATGAAAATTACAGGCCTCTCTCATCTTTTTAAGTGGGAGAACTTGCACAATTGGTGGCTGACTAAATACTTTTTTCCCCCACTGTATCTGCAATTAACTTAATCATAGAAAATACACCTTCCAAAAGTTTATGTATATTTCCCATCACCTCCCACTGGATCAACTGAAAGTTTGCTGTTGGAAAAACCCAGTGGTGTAAAGTACTGAAGTAAAAATACTTTAAATTACTACTTAAGTAGTTTTTTAGGGTGTCTGTACTTTAGTATTTATATTTGACTACTTTTACTTCACTACGTTCCTAAAGAAAATGTACTTTTTACTCCATACATTTTCCCTGACACGTAAAAGTATTTGTTACATTTTGAAAGCTTAGCATGCCAGGAATATGGTCCAATTCATGCACTTATCAAGAGAACATCCTTCATCTCTAATGCCTCTGATCTGACGGACTGCCTCTCATCTGACATACTCACTAAACACACATGCTTCGTTTGTAAATGATGTCTGAGTGTTGAGGAGTGTGCCCCTGGCTATCCATATATAATACAAATAAAAAATGGTACCGTCTGGTTTGGGAATTTGAAATTATTTATACTTTAGATACTTAAGTATATTTTATCAATTACATTTACTTTTATACCAAAGTATATTTAAAACCAAATACTTTTAGACTCTTAATCAAGTAGCATTTTACTGGGTGACTTTTACTTGAGTCATTTTCTATTAAGGTATCTTAACCTTTACTCAAGTATGACAATTGGGTACTTTTTCCACCACTGGAAAAACCCAACAGAGGAACAAACCACTAGCCAATTCACCTGCCTTGTTATCCATGACATCTCAGCTCCTTTGCATGACACTTACTAGGTACTCCTAAAAGTCAAACTGCTGTACATTTACGTCATTTAGCAGACGCTCTTATCCAGAGCGACTTACAGTTAGTGAGTGCATACATTATAATTTTTTATTTTGCATACTGGCCCCCCGTGGGAATCGAACCCACAACCCTGGCGTTGCAAACACCATGCTGTACCAACTGAGCTACATCCCTGCCGGCCATTTTCTCCCCTACCCTGGACAACTGTGCGCCGCCCTATGGGTCTCCCGGTCACGGCCAGCTACGACAGAGCCTGGATTTGAACCAGGATCTAGTGGCACAGCTAGCACTGCAATGCAGTGCCTTAGACTACTGCGCCACTCGGGAGAACACTGTAGTGAGAACTCTGTAGACCTTCTCATTGATGCAAACTAACTGTAATTAACCTATAAACATCTATAAATTACCAAACGTTGTAGTTCCGTACCTCTGAGATCATTATGAGGTAGTCCTACCATAATTTAATGGTACAGAGCCACCTCTCCTCGGCCGACACGGGGGGGGGGGGGGGGGGGGGGGGGGGGCCTGTTCACAATGTAGGAAACAGACCAAAACGGTTTGAAAAGACTGTGAGGTGGCCTAATCCTCTACGCTCGTTTCTGTTCTCCATTGCAAAACATTTGCTGCTGTGCATATGACCCCGACTCAGGTCTGCTCTGGTCAGATTGAACCCCGACTCCAGGTCTAGCTCTGTCAGAGTGACCTAACTCTCAGTCTAGCGTCCTGGTTCAGAGTGACCCCGACTCCAGGTATAGCGTCCTGGTCAGAGTGACCCCGACTCCAGGTCTAGCGTCCTGGTCAGAGTGACCCCGACTCCAGGTCTAGCGTCCTGGTCAGAGTGACCCCGACTCCAGGTCTAGCGTCCTGGTCAGAGTGACCCCGACTCCAGGTCTAGCGTCCTGGTCAGAGTGACCCCGACTCCAGGTCTAGCGTCCTGGTCAGAGTGACCCCGACTCCAGGTCTAGCGTCCTGGTCAGAGTGCACAGTGCTGGTGTTTTGTGGAGCTCTGTGTTTATTTCGGCAATAGCAGGTTATTTCCATCCGTGTGAATCCAGAGTGGGACCAGATCAGCCTGTCAAATCCCTCTCTGGTCTGACAGACACACAGAGGCACCAGATCAGCCTGTCAAATCCCTCCCTGGTCTGACAGACACACAGAGGCACCAGATCAGCCTGTCAAATCCCTCTCTGGTCTGACAGACACACAGAGGCACCAGATCAGCCTGTCAAATCCCTCTCTGGTCTGACAGACACACAGAGGCACCAGATCAGCCTGTCAAATCCCTCTCTGGTCTGACAGACACACAGAGGCACCAGATCGGCCTGTCAAATCACTCTCTGGTCTGGCAGACACACAGAGGCACCAGATCGGCCTGTCAAAACCCTCTCTGGTCTGACAGACACACAGAGGCACGCGCTGAGTTACGTCTAAAGAGCTGCAAGACTAGATGCTTAATTTCTGTAGTCTGATTAGGGTTCAGTGGAAATATTCAGGCAGCCCCTGTCTTATAGTCCCCGTGTAGCTCAGTCGGTAGAGCGTGGCGCTTGCAACGCCAGGGTTGTGGGTTTGTTTCCCACGGGGGGGGGGGGGGGGGCCAGTATGAAAAATTTATGCACTCACTAACTGTAAGTCGCTCTGGATAAGAGCGTCTGCTAAATGACTAAAAATGTCAAATGTCTCTGTGGTGAAGTATTCAGCCTATTTCTCTCTCTGGCTGGTAACATATTAACCCCCTCTCTCTGGTTGGTAACATATTAACCCCCTCTCTCTGGATGGTAACATATTAACCCCCTCTCTCTGGTTGGTAACATATTAACCCCCTCTCTCTGGATGGTAACATCTTAACCCCCTCTCTCTGGTTGGTAACATCTTAACCCCCTCTCTCTGGTTGGTAACATGTTAACCCCCTCTCTCTGGATGGTAACATATTAACCCCCTCTCTCTGGTTGGTAACATATTAACCCCCTCTCTCTGGATGGTAACATCTTAACCCCCTCTCTCTGGATAGTAACATGTTAACCCCCTCTCTCTGGATGGTAACATATTAACCCCCTCGCTCTGGATGGTAACATATTAACCCCCTCTCTCTGGTTGGTAACATCTTAACCCCCTCTCTCTGGATGGTAACATATTAACCCCCTCTCTCTGGTTGGTAACATCTTAACCCCCTCTCTCTGGATGGTAACATATTAACCCCCTCTCTCTGGTTGGTAACATCTTAACCCCCTCTCTCTGGATGGTAACATATTAACCCCCTCTCTCTGGTTGGTAACATCTTAACCCCCTCTCTCTGGATGGTAACATATTAACCCCCTCTCTCTGGATGGTAACATCTTAACCCCCTCTCTCTGGACACATATTCCCACATCTCTTTCTGGTGACAACATTGAGCATTTATGTTGAGGTCACAACTGAAGCCGAGGTCTGTATATTCAGCCCCTCTCTCTGCATGGTGGCCTATCCAGCCCCTCGCTCTCCGTCTGTCTCCCTCAGCCCCTCTCTCCCTCAGCCCCTCTCTCTGTCTCTGTCTCCCTCAGCCCCTCTCTCTCTCTCAGCCCCTCTCTCCCTCAGCCCCTCTCTCTGCATGGTGGCCTATTCAGCCCCTCTCTCTGCATGGTGGCCTATTCAGCCCCTCTCTCTGCATGGTGGCCTATTCAGCCCCTCTCTCTGCATGGTGGCCTATTCAGCCCCTCTCTCTGCATGGTGGCCTATTCAGCCCCTCTCTCTGCATGGTGGCCTATTCAGCCCCTCGCTCTCCGTCTGTCTCCCTCAGCCCCTCTCTCCCTCAGCCCCTCTCTCTGTCTCTGTCTCCCTCAGCCCCTCTCTCTCTCTCAGCCCCTCTCTCCCTCAGCCCCTCGCTCTGCATGGTGGCCTATTCAGCCCCTCTCTCTGCATGGTGGCCTATTCAGCCCCTCTCTCTGCATGGTGGCCTATTCAGCCCCTCTCTCTGCATGGTGGCCTATTCAGCCCCTCGCTCTGCATGGTGGCCTATTCAGCCCCTCTCTCTGCATGGTGGCCTATTCAGCCCCTCGCTCTGCATGGTGGCCTATTCAGCCCCTCTCTCTGCATGGTGGCCTATTCAGCCCCTCACTCTCTGCATGGTGGCCTATTCAGCCCCTCGCTCTGCATGGTGGCCTATTCAGCCCCTCTCTCTGCATGGTGGCCTATTCAGCCCCTCTCTCTGCATGGTGGCCTATTCAGCCCCTCTCTCTGCATGGTGGCCTATTCAGCCCCTCTCTCTGCATGGTGGCCTATTCAGCCCCTCTCTCTGCATGGTGGCCTATTCAGCCCCTCTCTCTCTGCATGGTGGCCTATTCAGCCCCTCTCTCTGCATGGTGGCCTATTCAGCCCCTCTCTCTGCATGGTGGCCTATTCAGCCCCTCTCTCTGCATGGTGGCCTATTCAGCCCCTCTCTCTGCATGGTGGCCTATTCAGCCCCTCTCTCTGCATGGTGGCCTATTCAGCACCTCTCTCTGCATGGTGGCCTATTCAGCCCCTCTCTCTCCATCTATCTCCCTCAGCCCCTCTCTCCCTCAGCCCCTCTCTCTGCATGGTGACATATCCAGCCCCTCTCTCTGTCTCTGTCTCCCTCAGCCCCTCTCTCCCTCAGCACGGTGACATATCCAGTCCCTCTCTCTGTCTCTGTCTCCCTCAGCCCCTCTCTCCCTCAGCCCCTCTCTCGCTCAGCCCCTCTCTCGCTCAGCCCCTCTCTCCCTCAGCCCCTCTCTCTGCACGGTGACATATCCAGCCCCTCTCGCTCTCTCAGCCCCTCTCTCGCTCAGCCCCTCTCTCCCTCAGCTCCTCTCTCTGCATGGTGACATATCCAGCCCCTCTCTCTGTCTCTGTCTCCCTCAGCCCCTCTCTCCCTCAGCCCCTCTCTCGCTCAGCCCCTCTCTCCCTCAGCCCCTCTCTCTGCATGGTGACATATCCAGCCCCCCTCTCTCTCTCAGCCCCTCTCTCGCTCAGCCCCTCTCTCCCTCAGCCCCTCTCTCTGCATGGTGACATATCCAGCCCCTCTCTCTGTCTCTGTCTCCCGCCGTCTCTCTCTCCCTCAGCCCCTCTCTCCCTCTCTCTCTTGTGACAGGCAGCCTCTATATGTTGAGGTCACTACTGAAGATGAGGCCCATGTTGTAGTGTACTGTTTGTTGAGGTCACTACTGAATATGAGGTCCATGTTGAAGTGTACTGTACATTAAGGAACATCCATGTCTAATTATGTCCAGAGAACATTATGGCTGAAGACATGATGAGGAAATTACCGGTGGGTCACGTTCATTAGAGCATTCAATGACGAAACACTTTAAAAACAGCTCAGAGCAGAATTACAGTTTTAATCATAGTTTTACGGTAACATTATAGATATGTGAGGGTTGACTCCTGTCCTGTCCAGCCGGTCCCTCTAGCATCCAACAGATGGGTTGACTCCTGTCCAGCCTGTCCTCCTGTCCAGCCTGTCCTCCTGTCCAGCCTGTCCTCCTGTCCAGCCTGTCCTCCTGTCCAGCCTGTCCTCCTGTCCAGCTTGTCCTCTTGTCCAGCCTGTCCTCCTGTCCAGCCTGTCCTCCTGTCCAGCCTGTCCTCTTGTCCAGCCTGTCCTCCTGTCCAGCCTGTCCTCCTGTCCAGCCTGTCCTCTTGTCCAGCCTGTCCTCCTGTCCAGCCTGTCCTCCTGTCCAGCCTGTCCTCCTGTCCAGCCTGTCCTCTTGTATAGCCTGTCATGTCCCTCTAGCATCCAACAGATGGCCCTCTTGACCACCGAAGCTGAGGAGACAAACTCTCTTTTAGTCTCTCTGTCAAAAACATAAAATGGAATATTAAAACATGAAGGTTTAGGGCCTACTTACAACTGTGAGGCTTGGTTAATTTGGTACATTAAGGAGCAATTATGATTTGAAGGAGTGTCCACATACTTTTCTATATACTGTTTAGGGTACATTTTATAAACAAAAGTATGTGGACACCCCTTCAAATTAGTGGATTCAGCTATTTCTGCCACAACCGTTGCTGACAGGTGTATAAAATCGAGCACACTGCCATGCAATCTCCATGGATAAACATTGGCAGTACAATGGCCTTGCTGAAGAGCTCAGTGACGTTCAACGTGGCACCGTCATAGGATGCCACATTTCCAACAAGTCAATTCGTCAGATTTCTGCCCTGCTAGAGCTGCCCCGGTCAACTGTAAGTGCTGTTATTGTGAAGTGGAAATGTCTAGGAGCAACAACGGCTCAGCCGCGAAGTGGTAGGCCACACAAGCTCACAGAACGGGACCGGTGAGTGCTGAAGCGCATAGTGCGTAAAAATCGTCTGTCCTCAGTTGCAACACTCACTACCGAGTTCTGTTCGTCGGGAGCTTCATGAAATGGGTTTCCATGGCCGAGCAGCCGCACACAAGCCTAAGATCACCACGCGCAATGCCAAGCGTTGGCTGGAGTGGTGTAAAGCTCACCGCCATTGGCCTCTGGAGCAGTGGAAGCGCGTTCTCTGGATTGATGAATCACGCTTCACCATCTGGCAGTCCGACGGACGAATCTGGGTTTGTCGAATGCCAGGAGAACACTACCTGCCCCAATGCATAGAGCCAACTGTAAAGTTTGGTGGAGGAGGAATAATGGTCTGGGGCTGTTTTTCATGGTTCGGGCTAGGCCCCTTAGTTCCAGTGAAGGGAAATCAACGCAACAGTATACAATTACATTCTAGATGATTCTGTGCTTCCAAATTTGTGGTAACAGTTTGGGGAAGGCCCTTTCCTGTTTCAGCATGACAATGCCCCCGTGCACAAAGCGAGGTCCATACAGAAATGGTTTGTCGAGATCGGTGTGGAAGAACTTGACTGGCACAGAGCCCTGACCTCAACCCCATCGAACACCTTTGGGATGAATTGGAACGCCGACTGCGAGCCAGGCCTAATCGCCCGACATCAGTGCCCGACCTCACTAATGCACTTGTGGCTGAATGGAAGCAAGTCCCCCGCAGCAATGTTCAAACATCTACTAAAAAATAAACATTAAAATGAGACTAAGAATTTGAATTAATTACAACTTATGCAACATTGCGTCAACATTACTGAAGAACAAAAGTGGTTTCATAATTGTCTATGCAAAAAGTGCACTGTGAACCATTGTACATGGTTCCTTGAATTAAATAAAGTGCAGGTTTTCTGGAGAACAAAGGAGAATGCACAGAACTTTCACTGTGGGCCATGCAATATTCATGTTTAAGTCACTCAGGGCCTGGGCCTGCATTAATGAGAGAAATTACACTTTCTGTCTCCTGCCAATGCTTCGAACTTTGGCACAAATGGTGTGAGAGCAAATCTGAGACACTGGTGCAGGTGTTCATTGGTGAGCCTGGTGCGGAATTTGTTTTTAATAAAGTTAATTGTGGAGAAGGCTGATTCACAGCTGTATGTGGAGCCAAACATGGTCAGGATGTACAGTACCAGTCAAAAGCCTGGACACACCTACTCATTCCAGGGTTTTTCTTTATTTTTACTATTTTCTACATTGTAGAATAATAGTGAAGACATCAAAACTATGAAATAATACATATGGAATCATGTAGTAACCAAAAAAGTGTTAAACAAATCAAAATATATTTTATATTTTAGATTCTTCAAAATAGCCACCCTTTGCCTTGATGACAGCTTTGCACACTCTTGGCATTCTCTCAACCAGCTTCATGAGGAATGCTTTCCAACAGTCTTGAAGGAGTTCCCACATATGCTGAGCACTTGTTGTCTGCTTTTCCTTCACTCGGCGGTCCGACTCATCCCAAACCATCTCAATTTGGTTGAAGGCCAGGGGATTGTGGAGGACAGGTCATCTTATACAGCACTCCATCACTCTCCTTCTTGGTCAAATAGCCCATACACAGCCTGGAGGTGTGTTTTGGGTCATTGTCCTGTTGAAAAACTAATTATAGTTCCACTAAGCTCAAACCAGATGGGATGGCGTATCACTGCAGAATGCTGTGGTAGCCATGCTGGTGAAGTGTGCCTTGAATTCTAAATAAATCACAGACAGTGTCACCAGCAAAGCACCATCACACCTCCTCCTCCATGCTCCACTGTGGGAACCACACATGCGGAGATCATCCGTTCACCTACTCTGCGTCTCACAAAGACACGGCGGTTGGAACCAAAAATCTCACATTTGGACTCATCAGACCAAAGGACAGATTTCCACCGAAATGAGACTTGTCACTCTTTTGCTCTGATAAGAAAGCTTTGGTTTCCTCCTGAATGGCCCAAAAGCGTTCCAAAACCCTGCCTTTGCTGAGCCATCTGACATTGTCATCAAAACATGCCATTGGCCTCTGTCAGAATGCCTCGTAGCAGGCGCTGTTGTAGGGATGATGTTGCTCTCAGAAAGTTGATCCGTTTCATCATCGTTGTCATGACCTCAGAATACTATTTTCCTAGACTGGCACACAGGACATATTGGTGAATGATGCAGCGGTATGATGTCAGGTCAGGGTGGTCGTCTTTCAAAACGTGGAACCAGTCCCCTCCCTCTTCCTATCATGGCTGGAGCTCCATGATGTCAGGTCAGGGTGGTCGTCTTTCAAAACGTGCAACCAGTCCCCTCCCTCTTCCTATCATGGCTGGAGCTCCATGATGTCAGGTCAGTGTGGTCGTCTTTCAAAACGTGCAACCAGTCCCCTCCCTCTTCCTATCATGGCTGGAGCTCCATCTGTGGTGATGGAGACCACTGACTTCAGATCTATCCCCCTTTTCTGGAGCTCCATCTGTGGTGATGGAGACCACTGACTTCAGATCTATCCCCCTTTTCTGGAGCTCCATCTGTGGTGATGGAGACCACTGACTTCAGATCTATCCCCCTTTTCTGGAGCTCCATCTGTGGTGATGGAGACCACTGACTTCAGATCTATCCCCCTTTTCTGGAGCTCCATCTGTGGTGATGGAGACCACTGACTTCAGATCTATCCCCCTTTTTTGTCAGCATCGCCTTTGATGGCCTCATGAATGTCCTCTCCTCGTGTGTGCGCTTCAAGAGTTGTTAAACCCCAACAGCGCCTCACAGAATTCCTTCTTTGTTTCGTTATAAAATCTGACCAATACCAGAAGCTGGGCATTATCGGTGTTATCTGTTGATTCATCCACAGCTACATAAATGCGTGGTGCATTATGAATGGCCTCATCAAGTTGTGAAATCACATCTTCAGCTAATATTTCAGTTCTCCTCATTGCTGTGGGATCTGTTTGATCTTTTCCCTGAGCTCATCTTTTTTTGTTTACCTTCAAGCAAGGTGTCAGCAACTTCACACATGCATCCTTTTACCATCTCAGCGTCTGAAAATGTTTTTGTGTGTGTTTTCCCAAAACCCAAGCTATCCTCAGTGAACACTCCATTGCACGTTGTTTGGCTGTCAGGGAATTGACAAGGTGACTTGGGTGGACGTCTCATATTGGGATTCGAGTTGGTTAATCCAGTTTGTTCTCACCTCCGTGTTCAGGGGATACGTCTGATCCAATTTACTGTGCCTGGTGTCATAATGGTGCTTAACATGGGCACTTTTCAGGAGAGCTACGACTCACTGCATATCAGGCACGTTGGTTTTGTGTTAGTTGTGGGGAGAATGAATAAATACTGTTCCGTCCACTCGTCTTTGAATATACGTTTTTCAGAGTTTTTTTTTTTTTAACAAACCATATTAACAAAGATACTGGTAACTAAGCTCCTTCTATCTGTGATATTAACAGTTGATACTGGTAACTAAGCTCCTTCTATCTGTGATATTAACAGATGAACTGCGGTCAAATTTTTCTCTTTCTTTCTGTCTGCTTGTCCAAGGTTCCACAGAGGATATTTGGATTGATGTGATTGGGTAAGACGCGGCCTCTTGTATTTGCATATAACCACGCGATTGGACAGGGCACAAGTAGAGGCGGGCGTTGCTTTGAGAGAGAGAGAGAGAGAGAGAGAGAGAGAGAGAGAGAGAGAGAGAGAGAGAGAGAGAAGAGATAGAGATAGAGAGAGAGGATAGATAGAGCGAGAGATAGATATATAGAGAGAGCCTCTCTGCGCTCGCCTTCTCCCGAACTACAATGCGCCTCCTCTCTAAGCTTCTCTACTCTCTCCTCTCTCTCTCTCTCTACTCTTCTCTCTACTCTCTCTGTTACTGAGTTAAAGAAGCCGATGTGCCCGGTTGATTTTTTAAAGCTGTCTAAAAATAATGAATTTACTTTTATAGAACAAAATGCGATGTTGTCCAGTCCGGATTGACCCTTCTCTGGGTCCGGAACCGGACCGCGGTCCACCAGCTGAGTTGGGCTGACCTAGTGGAAAGCCTTCCTAGAAGAGTGGAGGCTGCTATAGCAGCAAGGGGGGACCAACTCCATATTAATGCCTATGATTTTGGAATGAGTTGTTTGACGAGCAGGTGTCCACATACTTTTGGTCATGTAGTATCACATCTACTGCTCTCTGTTATCACATCTACTGCTCTCTGTTATCACATCTACTGCTCTCTGTTATCACATCTACTGCTCTCTGTTATCACATCTACTGCATCTTGTTATCACATTACTACTCTCTGTTTATCCACATCTACACTCCTCTGTTATCACATCTACTGCTCTCTGTTATCACATCTACTACTCTCTGTTATCACATCTACTGCTCTCTGTTATCACATCTACTACTCTCTGTTATCACATCTACTGCTCTCTGTTATCACATCTACTACTCTCTGTTATCACATCTACTACTCTCTGTTATCACATCTACTGCTCTCTGTTATCACATCTACTGCTCTCTGTTATCACATCTACTGCTCTCTGTTATCACATCTACTACTCTCTGTTATCACATCTACTGCTCTCTGTTATCACATCTACTACTCTCTGTTATCACATCTACTGCTCTCTGTTATCACATCTACTGCTCTCTGTTATCACATCTACTACTCTCTGTTATCACATCTACTACTCTCTGTTATCACATCTACTTCTCTCTGTTATCACATCTACTGCTCTCTGTTATCACATCTACTACTCTCTGTTATCACATCTACTGCTCTCTGTTATCACATCTACTGCTCTCTGTTATCACATCTACTGCTCTCTGTTATCACATCTACTGCTCTCTGTTATCACATCTACTGCTCTCTGTTATCACATCTACTACTCTCTGTTTAACACTTCTTTGGTTACTACATGATTCCATATGTGTTATTTCATAGTCTTGATGTCTTCACTGTTATTCTACAATGTCGAAAATAGTAAAAAAATAAAGAAAAACCTTTGAATGAGTAGATGTGTCCACACGTTTGACTGGTACTATATATATATATGGCACGATGTTGGCACGATGTTGGCACGGTGTTGGCACGGTGTTGGCACAATGTTGGCACGATGTTGGCACGGTGTTGGCACGATGTTTTCACGGTGTTGGCACGATGTTGGCACGGTGTTGGCACGGTGTTGGCACGATGTTGGCACGGTGTTGGCACGGTGTTGGCACGATGTTGGCACGGTGTTGGCACGATGTTGGCACGGTGTTGGCACGATGTTGGCACGGTGTTGGCACGATGTTGGCACGGTGTTGGCACGGTGTTGGCACGATGTTGGCACGGTGTTGGCACAATGTTGGCACGATGTTGGCACGGTGTTGGCACGGTGTTGGCACGGTGTTGGCACAATGTTGGCATGATGTTGGCACGATGTTGGCACGATGTTGGCACGGTGTTGGCACGATGTTTTCACGGTGTTGGCACGATGTTGGCACGGTGTTGGCACGATGTTGGCACGGTGTTGGCACGATGTTGGCACGGTGTTGGCACGATGTTGGCACGGTGTTGGCACGGTGTTGGCACGGTGTTGGCACGATGTTGGCACGGTGTTGGCACGGTGTTGGCACGATGTTGGCACGGTGTTGGCACGATGTTGGCACGGTGTTGGCACGATGTTGGCATGGTGTTGGCACGGCATCTACTATATGAGACCTAAGATACACCTGTCCAACATACCTGGAAACGGACTCCAAACACACACTGACACTTGCACACCTGCTAGCACACACATATGCTACCATACACACACACACACACGCACACACACACACACACACACATACGCTACCATACACACACACAGTTTTGATAATTGACCCCTGTTGATTTACTTCTGAGTATTTCTGTGTGTGTGTGTGTGTGTGTGTGTGTGTGTGTGTGTGTGTGTGTGTGTGTGTGTGTGTGAGTGTGTGTGAGTGTGTGCGCTGATACATTACTAGATAGCTCTTTCTGACAGTATTAGTGAGTTGTGTGTATTAGTGAGTTGTGTGTATTAGTGAGTTGTGTGTTTGTAAGTCGCTCTGGATAAGAGCGTCTGCTAAATGACGTAAATGTAAATGTAAATGTAATGTAAATGTGTGTATTAGTGAGTTGTGTGTATTAGTGAGTTGTGTGTATTAGTGAGTTGTGTGTATTAGTGAGTTGTGTGTATTAGTGAGTTGTGTGTATTAGTGAGATGGTGTAAACTCAGCAGGGACCACCCTAACATGGAGAGAGAGAGAGAGAGACAGTACCATTCACCACCCTAACAGGTAGAGAGAGAGAGACAGTACCATTCACCACCTGCAGGTGGAGCCAGAGAGAGACAGTACCATTCACCACCTGCAGGTGGAGCCAGAGAGAGACAGTACCATTCACCACCTGCAGGTGGAGCCAGAGAGAGACAGTACCATTCACCACCCTAACAGGGAGAGAGAGAGAGACAGTACCATTCACCACCTACAGGTGGAGCCAGAGAGAGACAGTACCATTCACCACCTGCAGGTGGAGCCAGAGAGAGGCAGTACCATTCACCACCTGCAGGTGGAGCCAGAGAGAGACAGTACCATTCACCACCTGCAGGTGGAGCCAGAGAGAGACAGTACCATTCACCACCTGCAGGTGGAGCCAGAGAGAGACAGTACCATTCACCACCTGCAGGTGGAGCCAGAGAGAGACAGTACCATTCACCACCTGCAGGTGGAGCCAGAGAGAGACAGTACCATTCACCACCTGCAGGTGGAGCCAGAGTGGCAGGGCCTTTCAAACTGGAAACACCAAAACCTCATAGCCTTCGTCCCAAATGGCACACTATTCCCTATAAAGTGCACTACTTTTGACCAGAGCCCTATGGGATAGTGCACTAATTAGGGAATAGGGTGTCACATAAAGCACTTTTACCACAGTGATTGATTTGATTGACAGCTTGCTCTGTTTGTGTTGACGGTCAAGGATTTCTGTTTATATAGGTACAATAAAATCATTATCACAGTTGAACAAAATATAAAATAAATAACATTACAAATACTAACTTTAAAGCATTTTGATTGACAATAAGTCAAGTTAAGACCTAGGCATCATCTTCTGTCTAACTACAGACATCTGTTGTCCTCAAACTCCATTTCCCATAAAGCAGTTGTTAACAATTCAATAGCATTTTGTATTTTTTTTTTTTTGACATATTTCTTAATTATTTTTTCCCCACCTAGGATGGAAAGTCGGTTAGCCCCTCCCCTCCCTGATTGATCGACCAACCACAGCTCAGCCCAAAGCCTCTGATGGCCAATCACAGCAGTGAGGTGAGGGAGACAGTGGACAGGTCAAAGGTGAGAGTTCAAAGGTCAAAAGGTCAGAATAGGATTAGAGGGGGTCAGGGTTGGGAACATTGTGTGAATGTTGTTTTTAACGTTGTGTGAATGTTGTCTTTAACGTTGTGTGAACGTTGTCTTTAACGTTGTGTGAACGTTGTCTTTAATATTGTGTGAACGTTGTCTTTAACGTTGTGTGAACGTTGTCTTTAATGTTGTGTGAACGTTAGAAAGTCGTCTGACTAATAACTCCAGTGTATTATTGCCGAGTTCGTCTTCCCTGAGCTCTCTTCCAAAATTAGGACGTTTGTCAGGAGAAAGTAAAATATTAACATACTGTATGTTATATACAAATATAGTATATACACTACCAGTCAAAAGGTTGGACACACCTACTCATTCCAGTTTTTTTATTTTTTTTATTTTTTTATTTTTACTATTTTCTACATTGTAGAATAATAGTGAAGTCATCAAAACTATGAAATAACACATATGGAATCATGTAGTAACCCAAAAAAGTTTTAGACAAATCAAAATATATTTTATATTTGAGATCCTTCAAAGTAGCCACCCTTTGCCTTGATGACAGCGTTGCACACTCTTGGCATTCTCTCCAGCTTCATGAGGTAGTCACCTGGAATGCATTTCAATTAACAGGTGTGCCTTGTTAAAAGTTAATATGTGGAATTTCTTTCCTTTAATGCATTTGAGCCAATCAGTCGTGACAAGGTGGGGGACAGACACATCTCAACCTCAACTGTTCAGAGGAGACTACGTGAATCAGGCCTTCATGGTTGAATTGCTGCAAAGAAACCACTACTAAAGGACACCAATAAAAAGAAGAGACTTGCTTGGGTCAAGAAACACGAGCAATGGACATTAGACCGGTGGAAATTTGTCCTTTGGTCTGATGAGTCCAAATGTGAGATTTCTGGTTCCAACCGCCGTGTCTTTGTGAGACGCAGAGTAGGTGAACGGATGATCTCCGCATGTGTGGTTCCCACTGTGAAGCTTGGAGGAGGAGGTGTGATGGTTCTTTGCTGGTAACACTGTTGGTGATTAATTTAGAATTCAAGGCACACTTAACCAGCATGGCTACCACAGCATTCTGCAGCGATACGCCATCCCATCTGCTTTGCACTTAGTGGGACTATAATTAGTTTTTCAACAGGACAATGACCCAAAACACACCTCCAGGCTGTGTAAAGGCTAATTGACCAAGGAGAGTGATGGAGTGCTGCATCAGACGACCTGGCCTCCACAATTATTATTATTTATTATTATCATAATCACCCGACCTCCACCCAATTGAGATGGTTTGGGATGAGTTGGACCGCAGAGTGAAGGAAAAGCAGCCAACAAGTGCTCAGCATATGTGGGAACTCCTTCAAGACTGTTGGAAAAGCATTCCAGGTGAAGCTGGTTGAGAGAATTCCAAGAGTGTACAAAGCTGTCATCAAGGCAAAGGGTGGTTACTTTGAAGAATCTCAAATATAAAATATATTTTGATTTGTTTAACACTTTTTCAGTTACTACATGATTCAATATGTGTTGTTTTATAGTTTTGATATCATCACTATTATTCTACAATGTAGAAAATAGTAAAAAGAAAGAAAAACCCTTCAATGAGTAGGTGTGTCCAAACTTTTGACTGGTAGTGTGTATAAAACAAAAAGCAGATTGTTGTATGTATATCTGAATAGTCAGTAGTAGTAGGCGATGAAGCAGCTGTCACCACCAGCAGTTGATATCCAACAGAAATAATGTGTCTGTCTTCTTCTGTGAAAAAAGCCTGTGTCTTCCAGTTAACTTGGCTTGTCAAATGGAACCCTATTCCCTAAATAGTGCACTACTTTTGACCAGAGCCCTATGCGGGTAGTGCACTATATAGGGAATTGGGAAGCATTCGTGGGTGTCCGTGCAGTCAGGAAATCCATATATGGCATGACGAAGGGAGTTCATCGTAAAGAAAAACTGTGAAGGGTATGGCAACCAAAAACATCCTACAGAAAAATCCAACAACAATCATTATAAAAAATCTTCAAAAGGATAAATATTTTCTCCTTTAGTAGTTGTGCTATGGAGAGAGACAGAGAGAGAGGAGTGGATGGAGAGAGACAGAGAGAGAGGAGTGGATGGAGAGAGACAGAGATAGAGGAGTGGATGGAGAGAGACAGAGAGAGAGGAGTGGATGGAGAGAGACAGAGAGAGAGGAGAGTGGACTTGGAGAGAGACAGAGAGAGAGGAGTGGATGGAGAGAGACAGAGAGAGAGGAGTGGATGGAGAGAGACAGATAGAGAGGAGTGGATGGAGGAGACAAGAGAGAGCGGAGTGGATGGAGAGAGAAAGAGAGAGGAGTGGTGGATGTACAGGAGAGAGAGGAGGGATGGAGAGAGAGACGAGGAGAGGTAGTGATTGAGAGAGCAGAGAGGAGGAGTGGAATGGAAGAGAGACAGAGAAGAGAGTGGATGGAGAGAGACAGAGAGAGAGGAGTGGATGGAGAGAGACAGAGAGAGAGAGGAATGGATGGAGAGAGACAGAGAGAGAGGAGTGGATGGAGAGAGACAGAGAGAGAGGAGTGGATGGAGAGAGACAGAGAGAGAGGAGTGGATGGAGAAGACAGAGAGAGAGGAGTGGATGGAGAGAGACAGAGAGAGAGGAGTGGATGGAGAGAGACAGAGAGAGAGGAATGGATGGAGGAGACAGAGAGAGAGGAGTGGATGGAGAGAGACAGAGAGAGAGGAGTGGATGGAGAGAGACAGAGAGAGAGGAGTGGATGGAGAGAGACAGAGAGAGAGGAGTGAGAGAGCAGAGAAGAGAGTGAGTGGATGGAGAGAGACATGAGTAGGAGCTGTGGAGGAGACATTTGGACTATGACTCTGAGGAGAGTCCGAGAGCACCGGTGGTGGAGCCAGAGACGATAGAGAGGATGGAGGAGAGGACAGGAGAGGAGTTAAAGAGCATAAGAGAGAGGAGTGATGGAGAGTAAGAGAGAGGAGGGCTGTGTAGTAAAATGTTTGTAGGACCCTATACCGGAGTCCAGACCCTGGGTGGACCAGGAGAGAGAGAGAGGAGAGAAGCGAGGATAGAGAGGAGATAGAGGATAGAGATGGCGTAGAGGAGGGAGAGGGACGAATGATAGGAGAGAACGAGGGGAGAGGATAGAGAGAGAGAGAGAGAGAGAGAGAGAGAAATAGAGACAGAAAGACAGAGATTAGCCACTGACTCTCAATAAACAACATGTCAAAAAAACACTTAAAATACCAGCAAAGAAACGAAACAGCATCCCCACTCACCAATCACACTGAATTTGTCATGGATTTCCAACCCAGTGGGTTTCCATGGTTTCACAGTAAATAGATATTTGAGGGATAGAGGGAACATGTGGTCTATAACCAATAGAATAGTCCCTTCCCCATGGAGGAGGAGACAGACTGACTGGCGCTGGTGGGTGAGTGGTGGTGGTATCTCACTGAGGAGACAGACTGACTGGTGGAGTGGTGGTGGTATCTCACTGAGGAGAAAGACTGACTAGGT